TCTTCTCTCACCCATATAATCTGTATTTGTGATTTTGCAGGATTTGACAATTCAAGTTTCCGCTGAAACTGACCCTGTTGCTCTTTTGCCAAAAGTTGTTTCATTGCTATATGTCCAGGTAACCTTTGTACACAATAAATATTACTATCAGGTAGAGTTAACATCTTTTTTAGTTCCCCTAAGTCGGATATTTTCCTTACAGATACATGGAAAGGCTCTTCAAGCTCCCGGCAGGGCTATTTCAGTTGCAATTTCTCGGTTAAAGGTCACTTCTATATTTTGGTTCTTTAGCCACAAAGGATTTTATAGTATTATTATTCGCTGCCTAAGTATGTCATTCAACTGAGTCATGCAAAGTTGTTGATGGATATGGTTGGTCTTAATTCAGTTTTTTCATCTCTGTATCAATTAGCGTCGGACTCGGACATATAGGTATCTAATATGGGATGTTGATAAATTTCATGCTTCAACCAGATTAATGTGGCAAAATCTTCTCTCTTGTACTGGCTTCCATAGTTTGATGCTCTCTGTCATTAGGGTGTCTAGCAGAAAGTAGATTCACTTTAGGTTACCCTTATGATGATAGTTACGTGACTGTATGGATGACTACAGTATTCGTTGTAGTTGCATATGTCCTCAAGATTTTTCTTCAACTCTTCAAATGACATTTACTCATCGCAATTGTACTAAGAAAATGGTCAAAGCTGGAAGGACTAATAAGATTATGGTGGCATGTCACAGTTTTTTTCTTATAGAGCAGTGGCTTTCTTCTATTAGGAACTATGAAAATGCTTTGAACTTATGTTCAAATGTGTAATCTTATCATATCCATTTGGAAGTTTAGGCTTCTGGGATGTGTATTGCATTTGTACATATCTCCCAGGGGAACAGCAGCCATTTCTTTGTTAGGACATTTTAGAAGTTGTTACAACACTTTTTGGTAGTTTTAAATTTCCCACTTGTTATCTAAGAAAAGAACAGAGGCAAAGTAGAACTAATCCAAGCTAGGGTTTTGAGGAAGAAAAGAACCCTGAAACTGCAGCCATGTCATTACTATAGCAGCTATCAGAGCTGCTTTTTTTGGAGGGTTGGGGTAGGGTGTTGAATTTTAGTGTATTCTGTTTAGTTGTAGAAGTAGTAGAAGTATTCTAGTTGTGTTCATGTCATAATGTAAGTATAAGACGATACTGTAACATACCTTTTCCGTGCTTTCTTTTCGTCTATGATTTAATGAAGCAGAACCGGAGGCAACATTTAGCATTTGCAAACGCTTAACCATAATTCTTAAACTTAGCAACTACAGAGAACTAACCTAACAACTAGTAACCTAGCAACTATAGAGAACTAACCTAACAACTGCAAAGAACTAACTTAGTAACTACGGAGAACTAACCTAGCAACTAGCAACTACAGATAACTAACCTAGCAACTACAGACAACTAACCTAGCAATTACAGAGAACTAATCTAGCAACTACATAGAACTAACCTAGCAACTACAGGTAACTAACCTAGCAACTACAGGGAACTAACCTAGCAACTACATAGAACTAACCTAGCAACTACTAATCTAGCAACTACAGAGAACTAACCTAGCAACTACAGACAACTAACCTAGCAACTACATAGAACTAGCCTAGTAACTATATAAAACTAGCCTAGCAACTACATAGAACTAACCTAGTTGGAAGGTTAGTTGTCAACGGTCAACGCCGGAAGTCAACAGATTTCGCCGGAAGTCAACGCCGGAAGTCAAAGGTCGACGTCGGAAGTCAACGGGTCAAAATAATAGTTAAAGAATTAAAATAATAAAAAGAAAAGAGTAAATCTTGGCCACACATGATGTTTATGTGTACCAAATCTTGTGGCTAAAAATGAGTCACATGCTCACTTTAAATAAGTGAATGCATAGAAATGGGATCCACTTCTTAAAATAGGTACACGAGACCAAATTCTAGTCATTTTAAAGATATATGCATTTATGCTTTTCTAAATATGTATTAGAACTATTGGAACTATTGGTGATTACATGACCAAAAAAAATATTTTAAATATAGAAACAAAAATTGAATTTTGCATTATAGCCCTTCTAAGTGAGCACTAATATACTTCTAAAGATGCATTAACAATGATATACTGCCTGTTTAGAAGTTTATTGATGCGCATTTACATATTCTATAATGCATCTCTATCCAAACTGAATTTTAAAATAATGCAATTGCATATAGGACCTTACTTAGTTTCACGCTATATATATTTTAGTGTTGCTAAATGCATACATAGTTAATATGAAATGCGCATTTAGTTACTACAAAATGCTTACATGGATGTTCCTTAAGGCATACTTGAATCAATTCTATTCATATTTATAAAAAACTAACTTCATATTTAATTTTCATTTTTTTCATATGTAATTTGTTTAAACATTGAACATGTTAGAGTAACTAAGTGTGTAAATTTGATTCAACGTAGTTAACACGTTTAAATTTACATTATTGCGTCCAATTAAGAAACTAGTCCATGTTTAAAGTGTTAATTTTGAATCATCTACTTAACAATCAATGGTTAAAATTCGTCCCTACGTTCTCACTATAAAAATGGTTCATATTGGATCTACTCTCTCTCTCTCTCTCTCTATATATATATATATATATATCAGTGTGTGTGTGTAGTGTTTGCATTTACTCCTGTGCTGTTATTGGAATTTTCTCATAGGAAAGCGTGATATTTTCAATGTGGTTAAAATCTGACTTCTTCCTTATTTTGTATAGGATAAACTGGATGATTCTGCATTCAAAACTTTGGCAGATTATCAAAGTGCTGCAGTGACCCTTCTCTCTCTAATTGCTGCGGGAACCGGAGATGTGAGTTGGGTTTTATAGTTTCCTATTATTTGGGATGTGTTAAATTTTGGTTAAATATTGGAAGCTAACCGATGTTTTGAGTTGTCCAAATATATATATATATATATATATATATATATATATATTATTTNTTTATTTTACTTGTTTATCTTGTTTCTACCCATTTTTTCAGGAAGAAGATTGTACATCAGACAGAATTTTGAGCAAGAGGGAACTCCTCGAGGGTTTAATGCCGGCATTGAAAAGCTTGGTTTTGGGCGGCAGTTCGCAGTCCTGAAAAGATACTTAGTTCCCTTTCTTTAACGGGCAGAGGTGTGGCATATGCCCATCTATTATAGAAGTGTAAAATCTGATTGTACTCTACAAGATTAAAGGTTCTTTATGTTTACTTATGTCTAGCAGTTCCAGTGATCTAAGAATAAAGAAAAAACAAAGAGAAACAAATCTATAAGAGAAGTTGAATTGTTATGGGACCTCGTAAAGACTTTGACTTCAGTAGAGATGTTCAGGAAACTGGTTGAGGTAATTGGAATGTTCAATAGTCGGTCCTCTTTAGTGCAGTCAAGATATAATTTTGGCTAATTTGCACACTACTACTAATATTAAGCTTAATTTTAGGTTTACCGTTTATGATACAAAATAAGTTTTATCATGTACTGTTTACAAGCAAATGTTTTCAAACATGCGGTTTCTCCTTTTGGGATAACGATCCTCCATCATCAATTCCTCTGCAACAAGCGCAGTTAACTCTGTTTTTTCGAAAATCTTTCCAAAACTATGAGACATCTTGAAAGTTTATGCTGTTCTATTTTTTAGACCAAACTTTGGTGTAGATCTCCTTTTTNTGCCCAATGATTGGAAAAAAAAAAATAAAAAAATCGGTCAATCCAACAAGTCCTTAGATGCACAAAAGAAAATGAAGCTATTTTCAATTGTTGACCTTTTTTTTGGCATTTGATGTAGACCGACGATTTTGGATGTATGTACATGTAGAAAAATGTCTGAACTAATAGTGTTTATTCATTAAAATGAAGTTTGGATCAACCAAGAGCTGAAACACCAGAAGGAGTTGAAACACCATAAGATGATGGTGTTGGGTATTTCATAGAATTCGCCAAACATACTGAATATATACTTGAGATAAACCAACACAAAGGTTGTATTGCAGTGGTCGATGAATACTTGAAGTCTGATATTGTTGTCCGACAATCGCTCCCACATAAAAGTGCAGTGCAGAAAATGCTTAGCCTCCATGCAATAACCAACCAATATCAGTTCAAAGTGGATGAGTCGTGCCCGAAGCACTGCTACATTAAGTGTGTACATGTGGATTGCCAATGGTTTGTGAAGACTTTGAGGGTAGGACAATCCAACATTTTAAAATAAGAGATGTTGGGTGCAACATGTTTGACCATTTGAGGGTACTTTTTAACATTTATACATAATATAAATTGAATATAAACCATAAACAACATGCGTAATTTAGAAATTTTTGTTAATAAATTTTACAGTTGTCATGAAAATTTTAAAGAAACAATCATTTATAATACAGGTGTATCCAGAAGTCGCGCATTGTTTATGCACATGTTATTAGAGTGATTAGAGCACTCCATCTCGATCCAATACATTTTTTGTCAATTCACTACCTAACGAAAACAATGTCAGCTACATATGCTGAGACAGTTTTCCCTATATTCATAAGCCAATCATGCAATAACATTGCTCCTAATGTAATTGAAAAATTCAATCTGTCGGTTGAAAGAGTCATATCAAGTCATCGATGAAGAATAGGTGCAACTATTGTGCATAAAAAGGGCACAATGTAAAAACATGTTTAAATTCGAATAAGTGTAATAATGATATGTACAAAGTCGGATAAAGTATAATAATAAAATATTTTTATTTAATAATAGTATTAATTAAATATGATGTTTCTATTGATTCAGCTTGTGTTAAAAGTCGTAGATAAACATATGTAGGAAAATCAATCCATTTCCATTACCACTAGAGGTATTTGTTGTGTTTAACTAAGGTATAGTTTATGTATACTTCTACCAAACATATTATTGTATCAAGTTTCAAAATATTTCTTGTAGTTTATACGCAACGATTTCGAGTATGGTGAAACTAAAGTCTATGTGTTGATAATATAAACGTTTATAATTATTTTATATTACTAAATTATATTATGTGTATATGTTAACTACAACCCATCTATATTTTATACCAAAACATGAACTTTAAATAAACCACAAAACTAATGAATGCCACACTAATTAAAAATAATGTACGATCACCTTCATTAGAAATATTATTATAATAGGCTTTTAATTGTGTTATATGTTAACTATAATTTAACTAATTTTTGTATACCTAGCAAAAACAACAAAGTATATAATTTGTGTAGCTAAATATTATTATAATAGGCTTTTAATTGTGTTATATGTTAACTATAATTTAACTAATTTTTGTATACCTAGCAAAAACAACAAAGTATATAATTTGTGTAGCTAAAGTATATTCTAAGTATATGTTTACTACATCTTGTTGTGTTTTATACACCGAACATAAGCTTTAAATAAACAACA